ATTTTTAGTAGAGACGGGGTTTCACCATGTTAGCCAGGATGGTCTTGATCTCCTGACCTCGTGATTCGCCCACCTTGGCCTCCCAAAGTGCTGGGATTACAGGCGTGAGCCACTGTGCCCGGCTACTATTTTATTATTTTTGGGACAGAGTCTCCGTCTGTTGCCCAGGCTGGAGTGCAATGGTGCACTATCTTGGCTCACTGCAACCTCTGCTTCCCGGGTTCAAGCTATTCTCCTGCCTCAGCCTCCCGACTAGCTGGGATTACAGGCATATGCCACCACGCCTGGCTAATTTTTGTATTTTTAGTAGAGATGGGGTTTCACCATATTTGCCAGGGTGGTCTTAAACTCCTGACCTAAAGTGATCCACCCACCTCAGCCTCTGAAAGTGGTAGGATTACAGGCATGAGCCACCGTGCCTGGCCTATTTTATGTATGTATGTATGTATGTATTTTTAGAGATGGAGTCTTGCTCTGTTACCCAGGCTGGAGTGCAATGGCACCATCTCAGCTTACTGCAACCTCCGCCTCTTGGGTTCAAGTGATTTTCCTGCCTCAGCCTCCCGACTAGCTGGGACTATAGGCCACGGCCACCACGCCTGGCTAATTTTTTTGTATTTTTAGTAGAGTCGAGGTTTCATCATGTTGGCCAGGCTGGTCTTGAACACCTGACCTCAAGTGATCCTCCTGCCTTGGCCCCACAAAGTGCTGTGATTACAGGCATGAGCCACCACGCCTGGCTCACCTTATTTATTTCTAAGAGACAAGGTCTTACTCTGTAGCCCAGGCTGGAGTGCAGCAGTGCAATCTCCACTCACTGCAACCTCTGCCTCCCGGGTTCAAGCAACTATGGTGCCTCAGCTTCCTGAGTAGCTGAGATTACAGGTGCGCGCCATGACACCTGGCTAATTTTTGTATTTTTAGTGGAAATGGGGTTTCACCATGTTGGCTAGGCTGGTCTGAAACTCCTGACCTCAGATGATCCTCCCACTTCGGCCTCCCAGAGTGCTGGGATTACAGGCATGAGCCCCTGCACTGGCATGAAATTTTTAATTTAAGAAACAATAAATGTTTATGGATAGATATTAAAATTAATTTTTTTTCAGATCAAAATTATGTCCATTAAAAGCATATATGTCAATTTAGATAACCTTTTTTTGAGTAGCAGTCCTAAAACAGTAATTGTCTTTCTTCCACTCAGGTTATTTCCAGAAAGAAGAGAATGGCTAAGTATGAGAAGGCTGAGGTAAATGGATTACTTACCTAAATAGAAAGGCCCTGTTGAATCTGTTACTCCTAGTCACTCTACCTTCCTACACACTGATGCATTTCAGTTATACTGGAGTCCTTTTATACTGTTTTCTTTAGGGTCTTAGGGACAGTCTTAGAATGTGCTCTTACCTAAATCTTCTTGTGTGAGTTCCATGGCAGATCACCATCTATTGATTTTTGCCTCATAGAAGAGTGGAATGGGAAGCCTATGGTTTTTATTTTACAAAGTGTCAACATCTAGCGGAAGCTTCTAAAGGCATACTCCAGTGGATTCACCTTGGAGAAACTCATTGTGACTAATGATCTGTTATATTTATGCCAGTGAAATAATCATTTAATATGAACTTAATTTGTCATAATAAATCTATTGTGTACTAACTAGTCATCTATACTAGTATGAGATCAAAGTGTCAGATTGTTGGTGTGTTTTGGTCCCTTGGAATTGAATATGAACACTTGTCCTTGAATCATTAACATTTTTCATATATCTGTCAATTTTTGTGTATCTTTGTATATGGGCCACTTACTAATATTTTAGCAAGTAATAAAAATAGAAACGTAAAGGAATATGGGAAAAAGTCTAATAGAACCAGAAAGTTCTAGCATTTTTTTCCCATTCCGTAGTAGGTCATCTGGCTTATTTGGTTTGGTGACCACAAGTCTAGAAGACTAACCTGAATTGAACTGTAACAGACAGGCAGAAAGACAATGTAGTGTTGTAGTGCAGAACAGTACAGACCTGGGTTTGGCTGGGCAAAGTTGTATAACTTCTTTAAGCCTCCATGTTTCCTCATCTGTAAAATGAGGATAATAGATAGTATGGACCTGTTGCAAGGATTAAACATAATCGGTGTAAAGTGTTGGTCCCATGCTTGCCACATAAGAAAATATTTGTCAACAGAGTAGTAGTAGTCATTATCATCGTCTCAGTTTGCCTGTAACTGGTTGTGTGATCTGAGACAAACACTAATTTTGAACTTGAGTTTCCCCACATATAAAATGAAAGATTGATAATAGAAAGTAAATCAATGTTTTCCTAATCTTAAAAATAGTATGCACTTAATAAAAATCTTATTCTTAAAGATCTAGCTTACCTCCAACTTGCCCTAGTCACTTTGGCGATCTTGTCTCTAAATAGAAGCTTGAAAACACTTAAATGTGTGTTTCCTTGCAATACAACTTTTTCTTTTTTTATTTAAATAAGTCTTATAAATGTGGAAAAAAATCATCTTGTGTTCCTTTAACTTTATTATTTAATACTATTTTCAGAGTGAACAAAAGATTGAAAAATTATTTAGAATTTTTTTCTGTACTTTTTCCTGTTTCAGATAAAGGAGATGGGTGAGATACATAGGGAACTCAATGCGTAACTACTATAATTTGAAGATTATAAAAGAAGGGAAATATCAAATGGACGCAAATTACAAATGTGTGCGCATGGGATGAAGACATCTTTGAAGGTCATGAGTTTGTTAGTTTAACATGATATATTTGTAATAGTGAAACCTGTACTCAAAATATAAGCAGCTTGAAATTGGCTTTACCAATCTTGAAATTTGACCACAAGTGTCTTATATATGCAGATCTAATGTAAAATCCAGAACTTGGACTGCATAGTTAAAATGTTTTATGTGTAGTGTTCAAATGTGTGCATTAAATATGCTTCCACAGTAGAGTTTGAAAAACTATCTGATTTGTGATGGAAAGCTGCCTTTCTATTTACTTGAGTCTTGTACATACATACTTTTTTATGAGCTATGAAATAAAACATTTTAAACTGAATTTCTTAACTTTGACATTTCAGATTTCTTCTTGTTCTTGTTCTTTTTTGTAGGGAAAAGAAAGATCAGCCTGTTACTGTGTCTATATAGAAAGAAGTAGACATAAGAGACTCCATTTTGTTCTGTATTTGAGATGCTGTTAATCTGTGACCCTACCCCCAACCTTGTCCTTGCAAGAGACATGTGCTGTGGTGACTCAAGGTTTAAAGGATTTTGGACTGTGCAGGGTGTGCTTTGTTAAACAAGTGCCTGAAGGCAACTTGCTGTTTAAAAGTCATCACCATTCTCTTAATCTCAAGTACCCAGGGACACGCACACTGCCAAAGGTCGCAGGGACCTCTGCCTAGGAAAGCTAGGTATTTTCCAAGGTTTCTCCCCATGTGATAGTATGAAATATGGCCTCGTGGGAAGGGAAAGACCTGATCGTCCCCCAGCCTGACACCCGTGAAGGGTCTGTGCTGAGGAGGACTAGTACAAGAGGAAAGAAGGCCTCTTGGCCGTTGTTGGGAGTTGAGATAGAGAAAAGCATCTGTCTCCTGCCGGTCCCTGG